CTATATATATTATATAACTAATTATTTTACTAAATCAAACATTAATATTCATAATTCATTTTTAATGTGTGCTATTACTTTGGAATCTTTTTTAAAACAAGCATCTGATGATTTTCACTTGATATAGTAAATCAATCTCGTAAGATAATTACAAAATGTCTTAATAAAATAGCTGGTCAAACAGAACTTACTGGTTCACAAGTTTGTGCCTATTTACTAGGAATTAATGATCATTATACTCCAAATAAATTTGCATATATTCATATTCATTCTTTTGAATATTATCTTACTAATGAGTGGAACAACTATCAAAATATTAATACTGATTATTTATCATACAATGAATTAACTACAAATTATAATCAAGATGATAATCAAACTTTTATTACTAAATCCTTTTTAATTTCAAAATCTAATCACACCTTAACAGCTGCTAATCTTCGCATTGATTACCAATTTCGAGGTCAATTTTTATATAATATGTGTTTATATGATTATGCTTCAACTATACAAAAAGTTTCAATAAACTCTCATCATCTTAACATGTTAGCAAATCAATCCTCAAGAAAAGGTAATGAATGTATTGATCGTTTTTTTATTTCAAGAATATGAACTTGATAATAATCTTGGGCACCCTCAATATAATACACATGTTCAAATGCATTGAAAACATAGAACAGAAAGAATAGTTGTATTAAATAGCAAAAGAATTCCTAAAAAAAGTGATATAGAAAATGCAGAACGTTATTCATTATGTATACTTATGCTTTTTAAACCATGGAGTAATGTTATTGATCTTTGAGAAAACCATATTTCTTGGTCAGAAGCTTGTCAAGATTTTTTAAATAATTCTTTATTGTCATTACGCCTACGACATATCATTGATAATATTGAATTAATACATCGATGTTTAGAAGAATCTGCTTTGAATTATGAATTACAACAAAAAGCAATAAATAATCCAATATTTACAAAAATCTAACATATTAATCGTTGTGCTTCAGATATAAATAATAAAAAAGAATACTTTTCATCAGATGATGATGATTGTCAAATAATATATGATCAAGAAAAAGAATTAATTGAAATTGATCCAACATTAATAATAAAATCTGGCTTAAAGGATATAAATGCAGTAAATACTGCTATAAATTATCTACGTATTAGAGGCAGATTTCTTATAAACAAATTCAATTCTTCACCTAATATTCTCACTCCTAATATCACAAAAATTAATATACTACCTAATGAAAAAAATATACGTCAAAGTAATAATCATGATGAAGAGCT